AGAGTACTGTACTTTCACTTTCCAATAACTTAGGCTTGAAATGTCCAATTTCAATGAATGACCCCTCATTTTAAAGATCACATACTCAGGTATTTGAAAATACCAATAACTTGAACTTCAATTTTTGCTACAACTTAACCATTCTGCCACCACATGCCTCAAATATTCACACCTTCAAAGAAATACTTGAAGTGGTCGAGTGCCCTACAAGAATTTCTGAATTCAATTTTATTCAAAATATTAATGATGACATTTATGTAAAAAGGACTATTATTTTAGAATAGTTTAGGATGCTTGAAGAGGATATCCAGGTGCCCCATCTAGGCACCTATGCTTGCTTGCAAGATTTACAACACAGATAAATAAGGAAATAACCATCTCATCCCCGCCAATCACGTTATTGATACCAGTCTTTAAACCTACTATTGAAGTAGATACTTTCCCTACATCCGCTAAGGATTTTACTAGCAAAGAAGTACTTGGAGACTTGCCAATTGAATTAAACACTAACTTCCCAATAATAATAGGAAGGAGTGCTACAATATGGATACAAAATCACTGAATCATTGGCAGGCATAAAGTTTATCATACTCATTAGCATCTGAATGAGAAAAATGGTTGCAGCTTTTTTTCCAAATTTCATTGGCAGGCAGATTTAAAAAGTTTTCTGGTTGGTGTGGTTTAATAGAGTAACAATGATAACATAAAACAATTACACTGTGTAAGCATTATTTGTTTTAAAAACAAAAAGTCTGGTTATCAATGGGAGGGCTAGGAGTGCTTAAGCCCCAGACAAATATACTAACCCTTCTTTCATCAGCCATACCTGTTCTAAAAAAGTATAAAAATAAGATGAAATATAATAGAATAGCTCAGATTATCTTATAATAATTCATAACTTATATTATAAATACTGAAAGTGCATTGAAAGTGACATATTACGTTGAAGTCAGAAATAACTATGCTTATATTCAGGAAATGATATAATAAATCATAATATAATTACATTTTAGAATTTAATGAAGATAATAAAAATTGATGAAAGTACAGAAATAAGTTTAATAGCCTTAGCAAAGGAAGTATTGTAGTTACTATAAATGCATAAAGGACAAAACAACAGAAAAATAACAGAAACTAGTAGTACTTAGTATCAGTCCATACTCAGGAAATAATAAACTAAATAAAACTATAACAATGTGATTTGGAATTTATTGAAGATCATCAAGAGCCAATTAATCAGACTCAATCTTTCTTTAGCAATAGTATGTCTATTGTACAGTACTAGATATTGAAATTAAGAAGCTGGTAGTAGGAAGTATAGAAAGAAAACAACGATTAGTTTAGTTGACACTTTCACCTTCTCCTGGTAAAGTAACTTTATTTTTGCTTTAAAAGCTTTTTTGAAATGTGGATACACAATAGAGGTGTTAACAAATTATAGGGCACAAAATGTTAGATGTGTGCACTATCTGCATAGATACTACAGTATGAATGATTAGCAGGATCTAATGTACTTCATACAGACCAGCAGACTAATGTGAATTTGATTGTAGTAGAAGGCAAAATGAATTTGAATTACAAATGGAAATTGAAATTAAGTTTATTCTGATTATAGTTTTGTGAAGTAATTTTTCATGGTATTCCTCAGCTAAAATAAGATCTATAATATAGGCCTACACAATTTCCATAGAAAAGAAAACCATACTCACTAACAGGGGCCTACCAAAGCATGGCATCATAATTAAAAATGTTATGTTATTGTGCAGATAAATTAGGGCTTCAATTTTGGGTCTGAAAACGATTTAAAAAAACGACATTTCGATATTGTCAGAGAGGGGGCAAGTTATGTCTTCATATGGCAGATCAGTGTCTTCACATGGTAAATCTAGATGTTGAGGCCTGTTTGAACATTGTACTGCTCAGACCCCTGGTGGCACCACTTAGGCATGAGGACCCGATGACCAGGGATAAAAAAGCGCTTTGCTACTAAAAGGAAAGGTGTGCCATAAATAATAACTAGCACAACTATACAGTACATATTTTTGTACACAAAGGAAATTCAATCTGTATTTCTGGATTTTTTTTCGGATGACTTTTAATTATCGGAGTGTCAATCAAACTTAACAACTGAACAATTAGAATAGTGCCAGGAATACGCACGTGTGCAACAAACACACGTGTTGTCTCACAAATACACGTGTACGCGTATGTTTTAATAGTCGTTTTGGGAGACCTTAACAACAATATACAAGGGTGAGGCTTAGCGGAAAAGTCGATTGCTGGTGTGTGAGCGGAATCAATAATGTTCAACAACTTTGCAAACAAACAGCTTGTCTTATGGTTAAGCAATAAAAACTAAATGTAATATCTGGGAAAATCAGCAAAGGATTTCCTGAGTGTATGTTTATAATTGGATTCAGGATCACATGAGTATGTGTACTTTAAACTACCAGGCTATATCTGTCCTACAGCTGTATATTTTTGTATTTCAAAATATATCATGCATGAAAGAATTATATAACTGAAAACACTGAAAAGTTGAGAAAATAAATATTACTGTATTTGAAATGATGTGACCAGTATTAAAGTGTACCACTTTCTTCTTGGTGCAAAACACCTGCCGGTACATTTTTTTTAAAATATTAAATTGTGTGTTTATGATTAATACCTTTAACAGCATGCATTGACATTTTAATTGATGGTTTAGAATTTATTAGAGGAATAAAATCTAAAATTATTAGAATTTATTTTTGTATTAGAGCATTTTGCTCTCCCATCAAATTACACAGTAAAAATATGGGATGCTTATAAACTAAATCTTTCACTTGAGAATGTAGTACAATTATTATAAACCTTATTCACAACACCTACTCATTCAAACAAAGTAAAAATATTGCTACAAAACAAGTTTTTTTTGTCTTGTAAAATATTCTGGTGTATTAAGGATTTGAACTCAGGGAACTTGAATTGTAAGGCAAGCATTTTAAACCACCATCTTCTTGTAAAAAATATTTTTCTGGAATATTGTTAACCCGATTGTTGCAAAGTAGAAAGATATCAAACCCATTTTAAAGGAAATGGGCCCATTAATGTTGGTCTTTTTGGGTTCAAAGGTCATGATTTAAGACTCCCTGATGACTGCAACTGTGTCGGTTGCTAGGAAACATGGGAAGTGCATACACTGTCTAGCTCAAGAGATGAAAGTATTAAGTGAATATAAACTAGTCATTTACAACATCATCATATATTGCAAGCAAACAGAGTTGTTGGATACAACTAGTCATACTTATGTTGAAAACATTTTGGTTCTCTTTGTGATTTGAAACTGTATATAGTAGATTTGTTCCATCTCATACATGATATTACCTAATAAAATAATATACACAACTATTGAACACTTACCTCGGTTAATGCATGTAACTGCCCATTATGTACACAAACTCCCATAAACCTAAAGCAAAAAAATATTCAAAAATTTTTAAAAAACAACAAATATTTTTGAAAATTAATAAAAAATAAAAATATAATGAATTAAATTTGAAACGGTAACGAAAAATCTGCAAGTGTGAAAAAAATTGCCCCAAACAGGGATTCGAACCTGGAACTTTCTGCAGTCTACGCAGACGCCTTAATGTAAACAACTGGGCCATTGAGGCCTTCGTTGAAAGTCTGATTAATCAATCAATCAATCAACTTTTATTTCAGATATTATATCCATATAGCACACAAATAAGTATAAATATATAAGAAAAATAAAAATAACCGAGCAGGTGTGCCTACTAGTAATAAAAATACATTATACATTGCAATATTAACAATGAAGCACCTTACATCATGTTAACCATATTATCTAGAATGTTTTAAAACATGTATATTTATGCACTTCACAAGTATATTTGTAGACTTATCAATTCTAGTCAGACAGTTAAAAACCGACTTTCTCATTATATTCACCAAATGACGGTAAGCCAGTGGTGACAAAGAGATCACTAGCACTGCAAAACTTAGGTTTCTTTAGAAACACCCTAAGATTAAGAGACAATTTATTTATTTATTTTTAACTTTCTTTATTCTGGATGGCATGCTCAATGCAAAGGCACCGGTTTTCATTGAGTCCTGAGCAAATCAACAAAAAAGTGATAAATTGCAAATGAAAAATGATAGTAAATTTAACAATTAATTAATTATTAACGGTATGCCACTACAACATGCATACTTTAAGCACAATCATGAAAGAGAGATCAATGTGATTCAAAATATAACAAATTACAGTATATAAGAATGTATGATGTTCTTAACATTACAACTTAAAAAAACCACAACTAATCAATATAATAAGGATGAAAAATTTTCCTTGTTAAACTAGGAAAACCTATTCAATGTAACATATCATAAAAAAAAGGAAGTCTAAAGTCCATCCATAAAATGTATTTGACATTTATCTCGCTTATTCATTCTACTGCCTGCTCCATTTCATGAAGCACATCTATATGATAATAATACAATCAAACAGATAAGGTACAATATAATCTCAAAATAGGAATATTACACATCCTCATTGCACATTCCACCCATAAAATAAATAAGACAATGTAGGCAATGCTTAAACTCTATCCAGATTATCAGATTTCCTTTGATTACAAAAAACTGTTGTGTGCCCATATATAGTGATGATGTACTATATATGGTGATGATGTGATGTCATCATGACCATATTTAGGCATGTCACATGTTTTTGTCAAATAAAATTTGATAGTCTGGACAGGGCTTATAATTTAATCTCTTCTGAATCATTATCAAAATATTAAACTTACAATCTACTGTAATTTGTGTATAATAAAAGCTTTTTTAACACTACCAAGAAGTAGTATGTAATGTGTCTGATTTCATCATGGGCATACTGATGTCATATCACATCCTTATATGGGCAAACCATCAGTATTGTCAACAGTATTTCACTTGTAGGTAGTCCATTATTCCCCATAGAGTTCGGTCACACCCACCTCAGCTGAACTTCATTGGGGCTGAGGTGAAAATATTGGTTATGTCGCATCAAGATGCTTGAAAATTGCACTCTCATGCCAGTATCTGGCTTTAAAAATTATTTTACTGCGACTCCCCGATGGCTGGGTCTGGTGTTCTCAATGGTTGGGCTGGCCTGTCTACTGGCATTGTTCCTGAAAATCTCATGCATTAGATAGTCACATCAAATTTGATGCTTAATAACTGTATACTATGAATATGTGATTCACATAAAAACATTAAACAGACTTGGCAGAATAGTTATAGACCAGAAAAAAACTGTAAGTATGTCAATGTAAATATTCCATAAACAAAGTAATTTATGAGGCTCTGAATGGGAAGGTATGCTATAAGCATTGTGAATAAACACCCATTTACAAGGATTGGCCTAGTTTTCAAAGAAGAAGAAAGTAGTACATTCTAATAACATCCTACAAAATGTGATCAGTAAATATAAAAATTAATGTATTAAATTGAATTTAATGTATTAAATGTCCTTAAAGTGCAATATTAATGAAGTCTTAAAACTGCTGTCTGACTTAATAGTGTTAATATTATTATTATTAATAATGATATTAATATTACTCTTATTATTGATATTATTGTTATTGTTATTATTTTATTAGTATTACTGCTGTCTGACTTAATAGTGTTAATATTATTATTATTAATAATAATATTAATATTACTCTTATTATTGATATTATTGTTATTGTTATTATTTTATTAGTATTACTGCTGTCTGACTTAATAGTGTTAACATTATTATTATTATTATTACTCTTATTATTGATGTTATTGTTATTGTTATTATTTTATTAGTATTACTGCTGTCTGACTTAATAGTGTTAACATTATTATTATTATTATTACTCTTATTATTGATGTTATTGTTATTATTTTATTAGTATTACTGCTGATATTTGTGGCACTATCATATACATGCATATATATCTTGGATTTTATTATTTAATACAATTTATATAATACACAATTTGATAATATTATTAGTGAAATTAATTATTTAATAAAACAAAAAAAATAGTTCAGACTAAAATGTTACTTAAGATGAAGAATCAAGCAACCAAATATCTCATCATCTAATCATATCCGTCAGGACCACAGTACTTCCAAACTCTACATTTCAACATGGTAAATCCATCTTATTTGGGCTACGGGAAAATCCAAAAATGAAGTCCTTATTAGTATGTGAACTAACTTGAACTTACAGCTCATATCCTCTTCCTCAGTCCTGTCAGACCGCCAGCAGGTTCATGTGATATTACATTTCCCGTTGCCATGGTAGTTCATCTCCTAATAGCATAGGAATGTAAGATACCTGTCTGTACAGATTGGTGACGAATGGTCCGAACATTCAATGGGATTGATGATACTAACGTCAGTAATCGCAATTCCGTGAATTATGATGTCAATCGTTAAAATATAAACTTAAACTATTTAACTAACTATAATGTTTACATTTTAATAATTAGCTCTAAAAAAAACTTCTTTTTGATCGGATGAACGTTATTTTGCTGAAGCGAAAAACTTCGATATCAATGTAAATGCACATGATCCAATGCATTCGTATAGCGTGTATAAATTCGCCTAGTGGAAAATAGTCTTAAGCCTCCCTACTCAAGATATTTCCAGTATAACAATCTTCTGTGTTGGAGAGCTGTCTGTATAAATAACAGATGGTGATCCTAGTCAGTGGGCACAAAACTATTGTTGGGCATATGTTATTTTTACAGGCCACAGGCCAACAAATTCGTTCAAATAGTTTCATCTGGTTTCCTTATTATAGCTGTAGAACTGTTTTATCGATAGTAAAGCTCGCAGTAAGTTTACAAGTTTGGCTTACTATCCATAAATCAGTTCTACAACAAATTTATTTCATAAAATTTAATTGGGCTATACCGGCTACAGGCGAGCCGGTTGGCCGAACGGTTAAGACAGGGGAACCATGACATACAGCCATAATATCGGCGTTGGTTCGAACGGCACGCTCGTCTATGGTTCAAGTTCAAGTCTTTTCGGATAAGGACTCTAAACCGTAGGCCCAGTGTACACAATTGGCACAGTACATCATTCGAGAAGAGTAAGGGGTTACCCCAGTGTACTGGTCCATTTCCAGTCCCCGTCCGGTCACAGAAGGAGCGTTGACGGCGCGGCCCATGTAAGGTATCTATCCTACCTGCAAATCCTTCTACCACACTACGTACAGTAAGCAAGGTGATACACACTAGCTACGTAGTGACTCGATAAGAATAAGAATTGGGCTATTAGGCCTGTGCCAATATTTTACAAAATTATTTAAAATAGCTTTCCAATGTCACAGTATTTGGGCAACACACACATTTTTCAGGCTTTATTAGAAATATGTTAGACTTACCTGACGATATTTTTATGCTCTAACCTGTTGAGCAACTCTACTTCATGTATAACATTTGCTCTATTATCATACTGTTTGTTCATCTTAAGCACCATTACTTCCCCGCTTGTACGATGCCAAACCTATTGAAAGAAATTTGATAATTGATAGAAAATGTTTTATGTACCTTATGGAAATTAAAATCTTAAAATAAAATTAAGGAAATGAAAAATAACTGAATCAAAAATACATTGAATTTGTTGTAGTAGCTTGAAAATTAAACTATATCAATTTACTGAAAATGCTAGATTAATATCCCTCTTTTTGCTCCTCTTTCCTCTCCCCCTCCCCCCACCCACCTCTCCCCACCAAACAATCTAAAAAAGATACCATGCATTAATGCCCATCAAAGTAGCTGATAATACAAGATACAAGATACTTTTATTGTCACTTATAGAAAAAATTCACAAGTAAAATTCTTTTGCCTGATGCTTATACACATAATGAATATAAATATATGTGATATATGTGATATATATATATATATATATATATATATATATATATATACATATATATATATATATATATTATACATATATATATATATATAAATATATATATGTGTGTGTGTGTGATATTATTTTCATTTTTCCAATTTAACACTCACTAAAAGTCAGAGAAAGATTTGTGATCAAAAGAAGTTTTTCTTTTTGAATGATAAATATAAAAAGAAATATGACTCTACAAAATTTAGTCTCATAATATAATCTTCCGTAGAGCATGAGTGTACTTATTCAGGTTAATTTAGTAGAAATAATATTATAATGGACTTGTTTGTATCTTAACACATCAGGGGTTAGGCATAAAATGTACCTGTTCACTAACTTTTCTTCTTTTTATCTCACACGCTTTTTATTCATAGCATTTAACCAAGCATGAAATATCATTCAAAGTTTTCGGCCACTTTGATTTTGTTGTGTTTAACAGACTGCATGATTACACAATTCACATGGAAGACCAATCTACTGTAGGCTTGAAAATGATTGGATACTGTACAATATCAAATGTTTTAACAAGATTGAAGTTTGTTGACTCTCTATCTTTAGTATCAGGAACTAAACTGTACTTAGAGATTATGTTAGTATTTGATAAAATATAGTCAAACTAACTGGTTATACCGCCAAGCGGCTGGGAAACGCCTAGTGATTCGAAACCGAAAGAGGACGCAGTATAAACAGAACTTACTGTTTCCAAATGCAGGCAATCTAGGTTACCTCATTGCTACAATCTTGTATCCTATCTGGAGTTCATAAGTTGTTTGTTTAATAATCAAATACACATTTTTAAATACAAATCTTGTCCACCACAAAGACAAGATAAAAAAAATGGGGACCTGTGGTCTAGTGTACCAAGTAGAATACCTAAACGGTCCTCAAGTTTACATCGGGGAGACAGAACGAACATTAAAAACATGAATCAATGGTCACAAAAGAAACATTAACAAACACAGGGGGAGTAAGGAACTGGGCTGCCAAATCTACAGTGCAGTACCACATCAACAATATTACAAAAAATCGGCTATTACAGACCATGACATACAACACAATCATGTCCCAAACTGGGAGGCTAACATGCAGGTACTAGCAAAAGAGCCCAAACAAAAAGACAGGCAGATCAGAGAGTCCTTGTATTAGGCTGGAGCCTGGTTCTCACGAGAGCCCAAGTATCCGGATCGGGAGCTAACCGTTAGTGCTAACCTTTAGCAACTGCGTGAGGACGCCCGATCGGTCAGCGCTAACCATTAGCAGTATCCGGATACCGCTAACGGTTAGCAAGCGCTATCGGTTAGCAAGTTGAGCACGTTTTTATCATCAACCAATCACACGTACGCTTTTACAATTTCCAGTTTCTTATTGGCCAATGATTCGATCATCATTTTGGTATCCGGATCGGGACTTTCTCGTATGGACACACGGCAGCTAACGGTTAGCAGGTTCCGGATCCTGCTAACCGTTAGCAGCAGTGTGAGAACAGCCTATATATCCTACTGTACATTTCCACATTCCTTTTAGTAGTTACAGTAATGTATTAAAAAATGGTTATGTTAGTAGATTGAATCAAAGTTATAATTCACTTGTTTTAAGAAATGCTGAGTTAGACATTTTCAATAATGACTTTCGTATGTTTCGTAATATTATCAGTAGTTTGGTTTAATGTATGATTTATAACTCTCTTATCTGTACAATGATCTTAGTGAACCCACACCCAGCCAAGCCCCGCACAACCTTCAACCTACGTCCAGAGGATGTGTGCGACATCGTCAGCAGAGCAGACATCATGACCAAGCTACAATACACGTAGCTGTCAGTTGACAAAGATCACCGATATGGATCGAAACATTATGAGTAAGTACTCCGTTTCGTTATAACTTATAAAAAAAAAACCAACAATTTGTCATCTATATATTTATTTTTGAAAATAAATGAAATTCTTTCAAAATACAAATTGTGGTATGTTTACTGATGAATAGCTACTATAGTAACAAAGCAAACAATAAAACTTATACAAAGATACCAAGGGAAGTTTCAGCCAAGTAAAACCAACTGTAACCGGAAAAGTTGGATTGCTTCCTGGTGTGTTCCGATGTTTTGTATTGCTGTGTTATTGCACTGTTGGTTACCGGTGCTAAAGTATTTTCTATCATTGTCAAAAGCAAAATTAAATCATTTTCTATAAGAGGCTCTCTGAGTCCAAGCCTCTCAAGATTATTTATTTGAAAAATAAAACTTTCAAATCAGTAAACTTGACCAGATAATCAGTTTGGCCTGGTCAGCCTATTATACAGGATATAGTAGGGTCTCTATAAACTGCCCTTAATAGCTAACTGGGTAAAATTAAGGTCACTGAACTCCCATTTTACTGCAAGCCCTTTGCCAAAAGATCCATTTGATCACTTTAACCAATGTTTTCTGAAGTCTACCTCTATCAACTACAACTTCTATGCTCCTGTATCTATACCCAGTTGCCTTCCAATATTCTTTTGATGCCCACCTGTCTTGTACCCTATTCAGACTACACTCTGTTGCAATCGGTTGTGATGTAATCGGTGGTAATCCAAAACAGATTACTCCTGATCGCAATCAACGAACGCATTTAGACCAACACAAACAAACTTTACATTCTAGGGCCTAGCCTCCAGTGGCTAGGCCTATGTTGACTGACCTCAGCCAAACAGTGCCTATGGAATTTGTTGTGATTCGTTCAGATCTGATTGGTAATCGGGAGTAATATAAGATTGTAGCACCCAATCGCATAATGTTGCAGCTGAATACAGCTGCAACATTATGGAATTCCCCTATGGGGCTTGAGTGTGTGTTCCATATGTGCTTTATCCAGTGATCCGGGGGTAATAATGTTCAAGCGCTTCGAGGTTGTGTCAACGGGAGGCGCTATATAAATCCAGAATTATTATTATTATTATAACAATTGCGATATCAATTACATATCAGCTACTATTGGTGAGCTTTCATACAAAATTTTTCTTTGCGATTGGGTGCCGTAATTGCTACAACCGATCGAAATGCGATGCTAGTCTGAATGGGGTAATACTGTAAGCCCTTTGCCTGAATATCCCTTTGACCACGTCATCCAATGTTTTCTGGGGTCTGCCATCCTAGTCTTAAGCTGTTGTGAAAATGTTGAATGCGTTTAACTCACACAGACAGGACGCGACAACAAATCATGGGAAGAGACATTAAAGGTGTTGGCCCAAAGTGCCATGGTCCATTCCATAATAAGCCGGGCATCACTGCATACGACGGTTGTTGGCCGACGCGATTCTATAAAGAATGCAACATGTGTGCAACGGATCGTTTTTAATGAAGAACAGTTCAGACTGCCACCAACAATCAGCAGACGGCATCACGCTGTCTATCGCTCAAAGAGAGGAGAGTTGGATTCGTCGTGCGATGATCGTACAACCGCCGTACGATGCAGTGAGTGCCCGGTTTGAAAGAACACCTTAAGGCCAACTCAGACAGCGTCGTACGGCGCAGCCCGATGCGATTTGTTGTCGCGTCGGATCTGTGTGAGTTAAACGCAGACGCGATGGTGTTCGTCAGGGGCAGTTGCGTAGTAGAATATTAAACGTGTTTAATATTTCTCACGACGGCTTAAGACTGTCCCCGACGATAAATCGGGTCGGGCTGCGTCGGCCAACGCTGTCTGAGTTGGCCTTTACACTCCTTGGAAACACCAAGGGAGAATATTATACTACCCAATTCTCCATCAGAAGAACCCCACTGGAAATAAGTCTTTGGACGTAATACCCTTGGGGTGTACGGTAAGAATGGCCCTGGCAAAAATGGCCCAGGAAAAAATGGCCCCGGTAAAAATGGCCCCAAATGACAGGTATGTAAAAATGGCCCCAATAATAAAATTCTGTATTAAAACTGATTTTTTTTTTTTAATCATTAGGCCCAATAAAATAAATTATTAGATTATCACGTGCATGCCTTCTATGGTACTGGAAAAATTTTTTTTTTTTTTTAAATTTTATTTATTTATTTTATTAAATAGTTTGTAGATATTGTTTGCATTATCAAAATCATGTTTTACTTTGAATATTAATGCACCAGCAAACAACCCAAGGGTGATATTTGGCTTTAGCAAAATAAAAAATTTAAAAAAAAAAGCCTCCCTCCCTCATCACTTTTCCTTCCTAGATAGGGTGATAAACTAATAATATTTTTTATAGGGCCTTATATGCATTTTTTTAAACTGAAATAATTTAGTTTTTAAAAGGAAACTAACATCAAATAAGTTGCCATTTACATTTTACTTTTTGCAGGAATGACATATTCAATGATAAAATATTCAAAGATAAAAAAAAGCCGTGAATAACACTTTTAATTTTTTTCCATTTAAAAGTTAAAAAATAGCAGCAACATAATAATGAATCAACATAAATCATGCATTTATTAATACTAAAATAATTTATTTGTGGCCAATTTCACGGAAGCGGAATCACAATTTTCCAGAAATTAACAAATACTTCTTTGAAGTAGCTCTAAGCAGAACTTTATTGTTAAGTTTGTGAGAAAGTAAGCCTCTCCCTTTTCCTATACATGAACTTGTGATT